AGCTGTCGGTGCTTGATCTCACCCGGCGCACCCTTCGGCCTTTGGCTCCGTTAACCGAGAACCATGCAGGGTTAAGTTCTGCCAGAATCCACTGTGGTCTCGCCTGGGTTGGCTCGCAGTTATACGTAGTTGGAGGCTTTTCTGAATTCGCCAGTGACGATCGCCGTCCCATTCTTCCACGAGATGATGTACATTGTTACGATCTAGAGAGAAACAGCTGGTGAGTTGCTTTTCGCGCCCCTTGTGGTTTATGACAGAAGTGTATCAGCATCGGGAAAAGTGCCGGTCTCTTGATTTTCAGACTTTGTTCGATTAGGTGTGAGTTAATTTGTCGGCTGTGTTTGGGAAGTGCGTTTTCCAGTTGATCCCTAAGGTGACAATCAAGCGATTTTCCATTTTGGACTGGTTGTTCATCATATCCTCAAGTTCCTTTCAGTGTACTGCATAGTTAGGTTCATGGTCTGAATGGATTTGGTTTCGTGTACGTTTCCTTCATTTGAGTGACGCTTTTGAACGCCCACCATACTTAGTTAATTGTTCGTTCTGCCGGACATAGAGACTGGTTTGACGGTTGGCGCACCTCAGCAACCTGCTAAGCTATACTCAGGAGTCACCCCGAGGCACTCACCGAGTCTCACACCAAGTTGGCCAATGGTTAGGCGTCCAAGACGATACGAGCAAGCAGTAGGCACTCGGATTCAATCGCAGTGCATTTTGTTCCGTATGCTTTGGATACTCACATGTCGCAGACCTTGTGTAACTTTTCATTTTACTTCATCGGCAGGTAGGTGAGCTTAGCGCGGCTACGACTAAAGTGAGTGACCGTCTCGGGTTGGGCAGTAGGTACACGGACAACGGGGAACACCTGGTGCAGATAAGTGCTGATCACATAATGTTCCTTCGCAATACCCATTTCCGGAACGACTGTGTGGCGCTCACTAACAAACTACCTCCAGACCCAAAAAGACCACACTGAGATCATTTACCGGTGGCGGGGGTCGATCACTGCTTGCCGCCCTTCTGGAATGCCTGCACAGACAGACCACGCACGCGTATATTGCTACTTTTCATTACGCGTTTAATGTCTACGCGAAACACGCACTCCTTGCTTAGACTTTGAGAAGCTCATGAACCCAGAAATAAAACAAATTTATCAGAACTTACTTCTCCAGTGGTTGCCTGCTGATCTGATATCGGGTATTAGCCGTTACTGGAAACAGATATTCACTGCTGTACGTCATGGAGGGACTTATACCTGCGGCATAACCCAGCCGGTCCATTCCAAACTTTGTTTCCTTGATGCAACCATGGCTTTGCTCAAGATCTGAAGACATTCCTTCAGGCCGCAACCCAACTTGACGCATTATCCAATACCAGGTAAAACTGTGTCCGTGCGGTCGGGAAAGCTTGACGGACCCGAAAAGTAGGAATGAAAGAATCGAGAATTGTCAGAAATGTACGCAGGTTGTTGCAGTTGACTGGATCGACAAGCCCTCCAGGAACTCTTGTCATTGAGACCACCAAAGGTCATAGTGGTTCTCTGCTATCCAGCAAAGGATAACGTTTGGACTGTCGGCCAGATTACTTCACACAACAATTCCATTGAACACCACCTTTCGCCCGGACTACTGGACTACAACAGAGAAGTGAGCTGTGAATATGGAACCCCCTTCAGCCTCAGAAGTGTTCCAGTGCATATCTCTACTCGAGCGTCATCACGCCGCTGATACTGACGAACTTCCGTCCACTCTGTTTAAGGACGGTGGTGAATTTTCTAGCCAGTGTCTGTCTAACCTATTTGCGCCCACCTGGGAGAATGAACCCGTCTCAGACAACTTGGGTCAACCGATAAGTGTTTATGTTCGAAAACGGTAGTCGCGATGAAGATAGTAACCACAGGTGCATCAGTTTGACTCCCATTGTAACAAGTCCTCTGGCACCACTGATTCTCTGTCGTCTTAAGGCGTCACGCGAAACATTATCCGGTAGGTGCCAAGCGCGATTCCGATTTATTAGAGAATGCAGTTACCACATCTTCGCACTCCTTCAAGGGTTAAAACAATGCTATATCTGCAGGCTTGACTTCAAGGGTGTGTTCCATTCTGTCGATTGATCAGTGCTTCTAATTACACCGTCTCAACAGAGAATGTTCCAGAAGCCTGTCAGCATAATCCGGTCCTTATATTCACATACTTCCGGATGTGTGATGAACTTTCCGAAAGCTTCCGTACAAAATATGGTGTGATGTTCACTCTCTGCGTTCTTGTTCAACTTCATCACTGATGAAAAAATGAGGCGAACGCAGAAATGTATTCGAAATCCCGGTGTTTAAGCAGTGAAAAACTTGTCGATCTGGCGTACGCGGATGGCGTCGTCCTAATCTTTGAACACGAAGACAAACACTATTGACTAGACTATTTACCAACATACAGTTTTTCAATAGGTGCCACAAGGTGCATTATCATGCTTCAGAACCTATGGTCTCTGAACATTTCGGGGAGAGGCACTGGAGGTTATGGAGAGTGTTCCATACGTTCTCAACTCGTGTTGGCTCTGACGGTAATACCTCAAAATTAGTGCATGAATCTCAAAGACGTGAATCACATTTGCTACTTTGCGCCACAAGAGTCGCATATATTAGGCTGTGGTGTCGTACGGTTGGTTCGAGGCATGGCCCTTGCGGACAGATTATCGGAGGCTTCTTGAGGGTTTTGACTACAAAAACACTGTTGTTGAATGGGATCGATTTATTCAAGACGAAGCATTTACGATGCAGCAGCTTCTTGGGTTGCGGAAAACACTCAGCATCATCAGTTGTATTCACTGGGCCATGTTCTACCTATTTCAAAATATCATCCACTTGGCTGAGTGTTATTCTCCATGGCCTTTTCAAAGTGGTGCAAGCGAGGGAGTGTGTGGAAGAGGTTACTATGAGTTTGGGTGTCGATGATGTGGTTCACTGTCCATGATTGGGTCCCTGTGACTGTCTTTGTGTTTGGCTGGAAACATTTTTGGAAATGGTGACTAATCGGTGTCATTGGCGTTGGTGCTGTCAGTTTCTTTCCAGATTGTCCGATTGTGCGCTTGGATGCGTAGCTCCTTGAAATGCTTGCGGTAGGCTGGTACTTAGTCCCTTCCTTATCCACTCCTTTATCCCTATACTTTAAGGTTTTAAGCATAATTAAGCAAATCCTAAGATTGTACGACATCAGTTGTGGGGGGGGGGGTCGAGATGGCTCAAATGGTTAGAGCGCGAATTTACTGACCAGAAGGTCCGNACCAACCCACCGCTACGCACTACTACGCTCCACAATAACGCACTGATGATGTCACCTCGATTGGTGATGAAACGTTTGCAATCAAATTGCCCAGCTCAGCGAACAAGCCAACGACCACCATCTACGATACCTGAGCTACCAACATTTTCCTCTATAGAATGGCTCAAATTGTTAGAGCGCGAATTTACTGACCAGAAGGTCCGTGGTTTGACTCCGACCTCTGCCTCTCGACTTACCCTGTCTAGGCTTGGGCAACCTAGCAGTATCCCAGCCCTCGTGCTTCCTTCGGGTGTCATGGCAGCTAGGCACTGGAAGGGTGTTACAGCTGAACGATAAGAAAAAATAACATCAGTTGTGGTGCATCAGAGTGAACACCGTTGCTGCTGTCTCTTATGTTGATGACCAATCAGCACTCTCTGAGACTGGTTTGAAAAGTGCAACCTTCTACGAGGCTGCAGCATATAAAACTGACGTCTTTAACAGGATAAGATAGTAGTGAGAGGTTTTGTATCTGGCTCTAGAGAATGCGAACTTTGAATTATGGACAGGCTTCAATAGTTTCCAGAACACTTGAGGCTGCTTACCCAGTGACACTTGAGGCTACCCAGTGACGGGCCATGTCGCATGGATTGCAACGAAAACTGGACCGTTCAGCGGGAATTGAGAGCATCGAGTAACATGTCGTAGAAACCGTAACCAGTCATGCGCTTGTGTGTTGTGTTGTTCAACAGACATCCATTTCATAAAAACGCTTGATTGCTTTGTTTTGCCACTGCTTCTACACGGTCACACTCGTCAATTCAACTGTCGCTAGATCAACCAAGTAACTTTTAATCTAATCGGCGAAGGACACTCAGTTGGTGTCAACTAAGACTCATCACAGGCTTAACCGGTCGTGGGCTGTCGAAGAGTTTTCAACTGCCTCATGAGTAGTATTTTCCGTCGGGAAAATCCTTCCCGTGTAGCAGTTTACCTCTGCATGCGCCCTCTGGGAAAACCCTACAAAATGTAGCTCATAGCGAATGGCCCCCAAAAGTTGGAAGCTAGTCTTTGCCTGGTCTCTAAGGTGCCCTGTTCTGAGGGGAACATTGTGTAGTAGCAATAAAAATAAGAATGGTGAACCAATAGTATTTGTTATCATTTTCTCGGTATTGGCATTGCCACTATTATTGTCTAGTTGTTCGATCTATTATGCTTGGTTGTTAGCGTGCACTGGTGGTTCAGGTAGACGGATCGACTTTCCATACGCCCCTCAGAATTTTTGAGATAGAAAAGAGAAAAAGTATATTTGTATTGACGTAAACCCGGTTGTGCGTTCTCGATGGAAATGCAAATACTTGCTCACCTGGTATCCAACTGAGCCGATAGGCTTGTTTCGGTGCTAATTTTCTTGAGAACCGTTAACTGTGTTAACCGCAACGTTGAATTCATTTCACCTTACTGTGAATATTTTTGTACTTTGATCAACACGTTCCTCATCATAAGGCGAATGTTTTATCGTCCTGTTCGGTCGCTATTTTTCTTCCTATGATCCGCAGACTTCCACTTTCGAAATGTCATCCTCCCCAGTTCCCTCATTTGGTTGTCATGACATATTGTACCGACTTACTCCAAAGTCATAGGAACTTTGATTTTGCGTTGGGATTTGGAAAAAAGTAGGCGCCATCCTGACAGAAGGGTGATGCGAATGAGTTTAAAAACCGTTCTGGAATGCAGACCGTGTACATGTGTGCCCGTTTGCCGTGTGGGATTTCGCTTGTTCATCACGATGTGTTTGAGTGTTCTACGTGTGTGCCGTGGGTTCAAAAAGGACGCTCGCTTATATCGGGCGGAAATACGTTGAGTTTTTTTAGGGTACCACCGCATACTTTGGGATTATTTATCAACCTATCTGTGCCCCGAAGCTTGGTGAACTAGTCATGTTGTTAGTGGCATGATTTCGGTTGAAAATTGTCGATCCAAGTAAGACCAACTAACTTAGGAGAAAGTTTCGAATAAAAGTCTGCAATAACATTCAGAATGGGCCATGTCAGAAAACTTAACAAATGATGAATTTGTGTGTCGTATTGGCACACCATGTGCGTACCACCGAGGGATTCGGATTCAGCAACCTTGTGAGTAGTTTCCTTTATGAAAATATACTGCGACATCTCGAATATCGTACCAACTGAATCATGAGGCGGCCTGTGTGCAACACATTCAGTTGTAGAATATCATAAACGAGAGATTCAGTTGAGTCTCTCGTGAGAACCGAATTGATTTGCAAATGAGTGTATTTCTCGAAAACAGTCCAATTCGGGTTCAAATGGAACATAAGGTTGACGGAAACTCGGGGACTGCGCCTACCCGATGAGCCCCAAAAAGGGCGAAACTGGTCGTGGGCTGTCGAAGAATTTTCAGCGTTCTTGTGATTAGTTTCCTTTATGAAAACTCTACTATTACATGCCTCTTGTTACCAGTAGTTTCATGTGGTCCGGTCGGGTTGCCCTTATTGTAGGCGCTGATTCACGCTACTACATTGAAAAGATAGTTCACATTAAATGGATACTTATCCAAATTTGTTTCTGTAAGATACAGTAGCAAAAAGACTACGCTTATTCACGTTATTTTTCCTTGAGAAATACGATCAATTTCCGCCATTTTTACACCTTAATGAACAAGCTTATTCGAATTTACTGGGACTTTAAGGAGACTCGGAAATCGCAGTCGAATATTCTTAGTGTAAATCAAGTCAAATCATGCCGAAACACGCTGTTTACCTAGTTCATTTTATTGGAGGTTATCAACAGTTCGCTAGTAGTTGAAAACTACACCGTTCAGCCAGCTGATGTCGTGAGTTGTCAGAGTTTTCAACAACCTTGTGAGTAGTACGTTCCGTCCAGACAGTTTGGTTCTAGTTGGACCTGGTATCTTGATGAACGTAGTAGCTGGTCACTGATGTCGTACTTGGCTTCTGACAGATGTCACAAAATTCAAATTCTGGCATTTATTGGCTAGTTTTTTCCAGAGCCTAATGTATCCGTTCACATGTACGCGTCGATAAAACCATTTCGCTCTGTCCAGATGATTCAAATCACAAAATTCAAATTCTGGCATTTATTAGCTAGTTTTTTTCCAGAGCCTAATGTATCCGTTCAGATGTACGCGTCGATGAAACCATTTCGCTCTGTCCAGATGATTCAAAGGAACAAGCACTGTAACTTGAATACTAGGGTTTTCGCAGCCATATGAACACTCCTCGGTGCCACGTAAGGCATCGGGTTAGACCAGGTTAACGCATGTATGGAAGCGTCAATAAAAGAACTTTGTTTGAAAATCAGTCGTGCGCTCCTCGCCTGATGTGCTGTATCAGTTACCATACCGCCCTGATTATCGTTTCAGGACTCTGATCAAAGTAACAAACGGAACAGTACCGCGGGCCATATTTGGATGTGTCTGCCTAAACATGTGAAGCAGTCCTCGAATTGGGCAGAGAAAGCATTATCCCGCTACGTGTATCGCCTTTCATCAAATTTTCGCTTTCAGGATTATGAGCCTACAACCTCGTATCCTTGTACATTTGCTCTTTATGCATCATTTCCCATCGGAGTTATTTCC